GGATCTCCCAATCAGTTTGGTTGCATCTTTCTTTAAATTAGCAGACAAAATGTTTCTGTAGACTTCTGAGTTCATTTTGCTGCTGCCATCATGTGTTACATCATCAATGAAGATGAAAGAGTCCGTCCCAGAAGAAGCCATGCAAGCCCAAGCCATGACATTACCTCCACTGTGTTTCACAGATGAGCTTGTATGTTTGGGATCATGAGCAGATCCTTTCTTTCTCCAAACTTTCACCTTTCCATCACTTTGGAAAAAGTTAATCTCTGTCTCATCAGTCCATAAAACTTTTTCCCAGAATTTTTGAGGCTCATCTCTGTACCTTTTGGCAAATTCCAGCCTGGCCTTCCTATTCTTCTTGCTAATGAGTGGTTTGCATCTTCTGGTGTAGCCTCTGTACTTTTGTTCATGAAGTCTTCTGCGAACAGTAGATTGTGATACCTTCACTCCTGCCCTCTGGAGGTTGTTGCTGATGTCACTAACAGTTAATTTAGGGTCTTTCTTGACAGCTCTCACAATGTTTCTGTCATCAACTGCTGATGTTTTCCTTGGTCTACCTGTTCAATGTCTGTTGCTTAGTACACCAGGGGTTTCTTTCTTCTTCAGGACATTCCAAATGGTTGTACTGGCTATGGCCAATGTTTGTGCAATGGCTCTGATTGATTGTCCATCTTCTCTCAGATTCACAATTGCTTCTTTTTCACCCATGGACAGCTCTCTGGTTTTCATGTTGGTTCCACCTCTAGATGCAGTCTGCACAGGCAAAACCTATCGTACCCAATCTGAAACTGAGCTCAGACATCCAGTGCTATTTATTGTTTGAATAATCAATGTAATTGGGAAACACCTGGGCAACAAAACACACCTGTCAGTCACATGTTCCAATACTTTTGCTCTCATGAAAAATGGGTGGGTTCGAACAAAAGTTGCTATCTTCTAAGTTGTGTATCAGATCCAGATGTAAATACCTGGAAATGAAAGCTGAAATGTTGATCTCTTGTCCCATATTCATCTTTTGATGTCAAACCCAAATATTTTCAGTCTACAACAAAAATAAAGGAATTGGCCTCACTGTTCCAATACTTTTGGAGGGCACTGTATGCACATTCAGCACATCCAATGCATCAAAACATTGTTTTCTAGTTGGAGCTGCGCCTCGTTTTCAAACTGTATGGTTTGACTAAAATGAACAATGACAGCAATATAGTCCACACTGACCAGTGCTAAAATCAACCTGCGTAGTTGTCCCTCCATTGTGACATTAGAAAGTGTCACATTTATCATGCAAGTGTACTCTACTTCAACGTTTTGTTTACTTCCTGGATTTTTCCCACATGGAAATTCTGACCAATCAAGAGCGGCTGTCTCACACAGGCATCTGATCTGGTAACAAACTTAGTCCCTGATTCGACTCTGACACAAATAATGGCGCTTTTGCTTTAAATACTTCTGTTCTTGTTAATGTGGTGAGACTGGTAGGTTTTTAAAGCTGCAAAGCAAATCATTAGTAATCCATTTCTCTGTTTTGTGCCTCCTCGTCTGCTCTTTTCTCCGCCCTCCTGCGTGTGACCCATAAATCAATCTCAGCGCACCATCTTGAAGGATGCCTCAATTCCTAAAATGCCTCTAAAGGAGGGAGGAGGCTTGCTAGAAGAGCTGAGTGAGAATGCACAGGTGAATCTTTTGTGGAAGTCTTTGCGGTACCCATGACTCTTAAAAGAGGCGTAACATACAGCTGATGATGCAGCTCATCATATTCAATAGACCTTACTTTAAAATGAAGGCTCTGACGCATGGATGTTTCATTTTGTTAACTGTCTGTTACCTTGACTCCTCTCTCCTTGTGTTTCCCCCTTGTCTCCTCCACTAAGACTAAGTTGGGAGGAGAGGAGGCGAGGAAAGGAATCAAGGATGTTCAAAGTGAGAAATGAGAAGAGAGGAAAGCATTCCAGCCTTTGCTTTGGATGCCAGCCGTTCTTACTGCACATAAATGGAAACCGAGCTGGCTGAATGCTGACATGACTGTAGTCTTAGACTTTTTTATTATTATATGGATACGAATGAATTAAATTTCCTTACAGTGCCAGCTCTCTGAAGATGGATTTAAGAGCAACTTGATCAGCTGGCTTCAATTTCCTTCGTATTAACGCCTATTAATGCAGCTTGAGCTGTTCATAAGATTTTGGACTCCACTTTAAAGGGGCCATCGAATGCCATAGACGTCAACAGTGGTCACAGCAGAAGTGTTCTGCAGCCCTTTCATTAGGTCTATCATTTATGGTTGGGAATCATCCCTTTCATGTGGCTGCCTTGTTCCCAGGGATCCAGGATCCAGGATCCAGGGGCCTTGTGGTTGTGGCGCGTTAGAGACCCCTGTATGCTGGTATCATCTTGTAGCCAAGGGGCAGGGAGCGACTGATGGGTAAGAAGAGATGATAATCCCTTCTCTGGTGCTCTCATGCGAGGCGCTTCACTGCAGGCCGGGCAAAACCTGCGCTCACTTTCTACCTGCTGAGCCAGTTTCAGGATGGCAGCCGCAGACTCCCCCGGTGTGTGTGCGTGTTTGACTGCCCGTACCTTTCTGTGCGTCCATGCGTTCAGAATCGCTGTGTGAAACTCTTTGCGTCTCCATTCATGCATGCCTGTGCAGACATGCTTGTGTTTGAGCGAGTGTGTGTGTGTGTGTGTGTTTGAGTGTGTGTGCGTTGGAGGTGACCCATGCAGGAAAGAGGGGGAGGGGGAGAGCGCCTATTTACATTGGCAGCTACACAAGGGGAAATGAACTGACTTCAAAGCGGGCGTGCAGCTGAATTGTAAAAGCGAGCGAGGGAGTCCTCCACGCATGAGCTGGCAGACAGGCTCTCAAAACACAGACAGACATTCCCAGGGCTCACTCGCCGGCTGCGCAGTCATATTTGCTCTACAGCACTAGTTACAGTCTGGTGTAATGAGAGTGTGTGCATGAGTGTGTGTGAGCTCAGTACCACCCCTATAAAACACTATAAAATGTCCGTTGTACCTTTTTAGTTTTGTTAAAGGCAGAAACAGAAAGATTTTGAGAACTTCACAGCTGTGTTTTACTATATGCAGTCTGTTGGATCATAACACCATCTGAGGCCTGGTGGAGGTGTCCACAAAGCTTGTTTCTCTGGCTCTGAGCCTGTTACACTTCTTTCAATATAGGGAGAACGAGTGAGGGTGCAGGTCTTTAAGGGTCTTGACAAACCAAGCCGACGGTCGGCCGTTGGCCAGTGTTGGGCCGTAGGTCAGAGTTGCCCTAGTTTTTGTGGTTTGTCCTGCACGTTGGCACCAGTTGGCCCTTGTCGCCTGTTTTTTGGCCGATTAAGCATGTTGAATCGGCATTTGAGCCGTCAGAACCTGTCTGTGGATGAAATCCCTGTGATTGACCATTCAGCTCTGTGCAGGAGAAGTGAAACAGAAGTGAGGAAAGTAAACAAACAGCTAGAGTCAAGAGAGAGAGAGATCTAAACAGACTTGTGATATTAGGTAAGATTATGTTTTCAGCTACTGAGTCTTTAGCATAATCAGTTCGCAGTGGTTAGTGTTATTGTTTGCTGTGGCACGATAAAAATAATTTGGTCTTTCAACATTGGGTTGTGTCGTTAATGTGCCAACTGGCTCACTGGCGCATCTTGAATCCGTCCTGTTGGTCATCTACTTACCCTTTTGAATGACGAATACAGACTACCACCACTTACCGGTACATGTATGGAGAGTTATGTCCTGTCACGCAGGTGCCGAAAGTATGTGCTAGTTGGCCATTTGCTGTAGTCTTTACAATGCGTTCAAGTGCAACTTTTTGGCTGAGATACTGGCAACATGAGGAGACGCAACAGTTGATGTGTCTTGGCCTTAATGATTGGATATAACTGAGTTTGGCCATCTAATGATTAGTGGTTTGATCCCCGCGTCCTCCAGTCTGCATGTCAATGTATCCTGGGGTGGGATACTGAACCCCAAATTGCTCCTGATGGCTGTTCCATCGGTGTGTGAGAGAATGTTAATGGTAAGTGAGTAGCAGGTTGCATCGTGTATGGTAGCCTCGGCCAGCAGTGTGTTAATGTGTGTGAATGGGTGCATGTGACATGTAGTATAAGGACTTTGAGTAGTTGGAAGACTAGAAAGGTGCTACAAGTGCAGTCCATTTACAGTTTAAAATTTGGGAATTTCCTTACAGTTCCACTTTAAAGTGGAATGTCAGGAATCCAATGTTGTTCACAATAAAATAATTCGATTCACACAGGGAATTTTTTTGTACTTTGAATGTAAATAAGGTACTAGAGTGCATAAAAAGAATTGAATTATTGCCACGAGAGGATCCCCCAGACCCCCTGATAAAGGTCCAGGCTAAGCCCCAAATGTCCTCAAATCCTAGACCCGCCCCTGAATACACCTGACCTGTGCAGGGCTGCTGCGCCTGAATTTGCCTCTTTGCAAATCCAAACACTGAAAGGTTGAAAACAGGCAATTCATGTATTATATATACTGTTTAATATTATTAAGGATCGTTTATTAAGTTGCCCCTTGTATCCTGTCTTTTCTCAAAAGTGGCTCCAGGGCCATGCAAGTTGAGTATGCCTGGACTACACACATCAAATTGGGCATCCAGATGTCAAAAATAAATCCATCCTTATTAGTCTCAGAAGCAGCAGCTTGTATCTAAAAACTTAACTAGATCTCATCTTAATTTAGGATAAAAAAAAAAATACTTTCTTTAAAGGCTTTCTTAAATTAGCCCCTCTTCTACCTCAGAGTGCTCTATATTGTAAAACCACTGCAGTGACTTCAGCTTAAATGTTCCAGAAAAGCTGCACTCTTCCTGTTAGAATGAGGTGAGATGATGGAAAATGGAAAACCAGTTCATCCCAGTGCCCAGCCAGAGCTTTTCCCTTCCCAGAGACAGATGTGCATCGGACACACACACACACACACACACACACAAGCTCTAAGACTTTCTGCTTTGTGTTTGTGTGTGACAGGGATGCTGCAGAGACGGCCAACCATAGAGGACTTTGTTGATGCGCTCGTGTCAGAGCTCAACCCAAATTTTGAGACCTTCATCATGGACTCTGAAAGCTGAAAGATGCCTGTGGCACCATGGAAACAGACTTGAACCCGCACAAGGCAACGAGACAATACACTAATGATGCATGGGCCAAGAGGTGAAAGACGTGGCATCAGGGTGCACGCTCTTACTAAGTATCTTTACTTTTTCTAGAAATGATATATTGCTGGTTGCTCTTGAAGTTACATTGACTTATTTTTTTATATATTTGGCTAATTCTGCTGTAATTTAAGGATAAAATGGAAAGAAAAGAAGACTTTCCACCAGCTGCTAAAAGCTCCTGATTATCTCTGAATATTGATTTTTCCAGATTATGGTGAATTTTGTCCCATTCATAGACACTTTCCCAATGCTCTAGATTCCCGTTGTGTCATCATTAATGGTATTCTAACAGGTTAAACAGATACTTGAGCCGTGCAAGATACCGTTGGTTCAACATCATAAAACAATTTTGAGTTTATACGTATGCTTTTTCACCTTTTTTGTTGCACTGATTGTTGTTAAAAAAACAGAAAATGTCCTCTGTAATGTAACATACTCATATAAATGTCACCAAGTTCCTATTTATGTGGTTCTCATTGTTTAATTTGCTTTTATTCTCATTAATTCCTCATCTAGTATCCCCTCATTAAATGTCAGTTTTCAGCTCCCATACGAGCAGCACATTGTTTTTTCCTGATCAAATCAGCGTGAGGAAGAATACTTAATCTGCTCTTCCTGTCATGTGGTCATTGTTTAGGCTCTAAATTAATGCCGCTCCATCTGTTTTGTCTGTCTGGAGTTTTGAGGGGGGAGGAGGAGGAGGAGGAGTGTTTGGTGCGCTGGAGGTCAGAGAGAGAAAATCAGCACTTTGTGTTAAGTATTTTCAGAGACATTAGAAAGTTGTGGACATTTTAAACAGGATTGTCTGAGCCGAGAACTTTTTACTCCGCACTGCGTTAAAGTCTCTCAAACATCACTTTGAAGCAGAGCCTCTTGCAGCTTGGTCTCTGAAGAACTTTTTCCACAGACACTCCAGAACAGTCTCTTCAACAAAGCGGCTGTTTGCATCTGTTTCGACAGATTCAGCCAGTAATTATCAGCTGAGCTGGGACTGCAGCTGCTGCCTGTAACAATGTCCTTGCTTGCCTCGCTCAGATATGAGACCCGAGGCAGGCAGCGAGAAGCAGCTTTTCATGGTTATTGAAGGTGCGAACATGCCATCAATGAGAGAGACTGAGTGAGCTGGGTGGCTCTGGCCACACAGCAACTTGACTGATCGTTTGGATGTGACGGTCATTTTAGACTTAACTTCACCCTCAACTACATCCTCCAAAATGATCATTAAGTTTAAACAGCACCGCTAAACGAGTTTAATAATCTGTTTAAATAACCACTGAGCATCATAACCTTGATAAGATAGGATTTATTGTAGGATCAGTTTTGGCGAGGTTTAATTAGTAATGAACTGGCAACTGAGTGTGTCTTCTGTGGCTCTGGAGGAGCTTTGTAAAGTTTGGAAAAACCCAATGATGTCATCAATTTGGGCTTAGAGACAACAGACATTTACGGTAAGCCTGTATTACAGAGAGGGTCTGATGTCAAGACACTGAGTTCTAGAGCTGCAGTTAACGGTTGTTAAAGATCTTCTTGAATATTTGTTTCAGAATAATAAATTGTTTTGTCTATAAAATGTGGAAAATAGGGGGAAATTCTTAAAGTCTACATAATGCTTGTGTTGTCTGATCCCCGAAATTTTCTGTTTATTGGTTTATGCTCTGAAGTTGGATTATGGGAAGGATTCAGAGTTTTTGAGGCTTAAACGAAACTAGAGACAAAGAGCCTGTTTACACCTGGTATTAACGTGTTTCAGTGATACGAACATACATTGCCATTCACAAATGTGTCTCATGTCTCCAGCTGATCACTTGTGTTCAGGTTTCATCATTACCTGCATCACTTACACAAGGTCAAAGGGCCCTGCATGCAGTTTTTATGTCCACACTCTCACTAGCATGCTCGCTAGTCATATTAGCATAGTCGTTCCCAGCTGGTAGGTTGCGGGTCCATTCTGATGTGTCATGTTTGTAAAAAAACACACTTTAATTTTGAAGTCCAGTTAATTTACAACACAAGCTTTTATTTTGGAGTGCTATTTCCTGCTGTAGAGTGAGTGAATAAGGGACAGCTACTTAACAAAGACAGCAAACTAGCTTGATGACACGGCCAAATGCAAGTATGACACTGAATATATTGAACTTTGTGGACCTTGAACTAATGGCTAAGGAGCAATCTGGGCTCCGTGGCTGGACCAGTTGGGAACCACTGTATTAGCGGTTGTGTCAGTACATAATGCTGTCAGCAGAATTCAGCATGTCCACTTCCATATGACAAAACAATGGATGGTCACAGATCATTTCGTCCAACTCTTTGTAAAATGGTTAAGTTATAGAGTGTTAGTGTGGTGTCACCTAAACAACCACGATGTCTTGCCTTGATGACGTCGTCCTTGTCAGAGATACATCAGCAAACACAATACAAAAGCTATGTGATCAAATACGTCCCAGACCACCTCAGCAAGTGGTTTGAGTGATCAGATCATATTGTGTCTTGGTGGTTGTTTACACTTTGAGGCATTCGCACCAGGGTAGGTCGGGGGGCTCTGTTTGTTTGGGCAGGGAATGCCGAAAAAGTTCACACCTTCATTTGGTTCGGTTCACTTTCACACTGCACTTTTTAAAGCAGACCAAACCGCCTGGACAACGTCACGCAGTTATAACAGCTGATTGTTTGGGGGCGGTATTGCCCGAAATGACCACTGACCAGGAGGAAAAAAAGCATGAGGAAGAAGAAAACAGGCCAGGACCGAAAATGTAAATCCATCCCCTTCAGCCGGCTTGGTCACCTCAAAAACATTGGACCAACACCAAATTTATTCAGTCTTGGGGTTTCTGTTTTTATTTTGGTGTTCAAACCAAATTGTTTTTTCACAAGAAGCTGCCCAGTGTGTTGCCCTACGTCACTTCCTCTCTTCGGTTCACTTCCTCTCTTTGGTTCGCTGGATAGTCCGTTTGCATTTCCCACTGCAAGCAAACAGCACCAGGGTTCACTTGCAAGTGAACTGAGACCACCAGTTTTCAAGCGGACAAGGATTTGCTCGTTTGGTCCGCACCAGAGTTCGAATGAGCTTCCACGCCACTCAAAACGAACCCAACTATCCGTGGAAGCGGACCAGGGTTCATTTAAAGCAGACCAAATAGCGCCAGGGTGAATGCGTCCTTATATTTAGCGCTGTCCACGTGTGATCTGATCACCCAAGCTGCGTGTTTATACCAGGTGTAAACAGGGCCAAAAGGCAGGATGAGTCGGTCTGAGGTATCAACTGTCAAACCTTTTTTTTAAATTTGTTTTACACAAGTCCTTCAATGTTATGAAAGTGCATTACCTAATTGTTTGATTCAACAAATCCACTGAATAATTGAGAAAATAAATTCCACGGTGTGTAAACTTGTTCAAGTGGTTTATTTACAAAAACAATATGTGGCAGTGACCAATCACAACCATCAACACTATAACTGGGGGAAGAAAAGCAAAACATTGTCAGTCATGTCTATGTTACAAAAATATTGACCTATTTAGTATTTTACAGTATCTACAACACATTTATCACTTAAACATTCCTCGTCTTTACTTGTTCCATATTATCAAGATTGTCTTCAATGTGCAACATAATTACTTTTGACACTTTTTCTTCACGCCTCAAATTTTGTTACCTTTACACACAAAAGCTTCATAACACCAGCTGCTGCTAGATCAGTGGTACAGTTTGTTCTCCTACATGTGAAGATGCGAGACATTCTCGAGGCGGAGCAGAGGCTCACTTTGATTCACTTTGCTCGGCGCTGATAAGTCAATAGTCCTTGACATTTGAACTTCATTTGATTTCACCTTCTGGGCCAGCGAGTTCACATTTTGTGTGCGTGTGAGAGAGTGTGTGTGTGTATTTCTATCCCTTTGCCCTCATGCTTTGCCTTCCTCAGCAGTGCTTTTGTTGTTTTATGTATGTACATGTTCTGTTTGGACCCAGTGACGAGGGGCTCTGAGGTCAGCAGGAGGCATTTCAAAGAGGCGGGGTGTGACCACACTTGAGAGTGGCTGCTGCTTGTCTGTATGATGGGGGGGGGGGTTGTAGTGAGTAATCTGATCCGGGATCTGGCCGCGGCTGTTGTTGAGTCCAGGGTGGTTCAAGGGTGGAACACGAGCCAAAGAAATCCATGTCATCCTGGAAAGAGAGCAGGAAGAGGAACACAGACACGCAGTGATTAGTAATGTATCTACCCAGAGCCAGCCAGGGGCCGACTTAAAACAGGATAGTCTTGTCTACATCAAAGAGCTCGTGCTTTCTCTCATTTCTTTTACCAGCTGCTCTTCATGGACACACACATAGCAATGTGTCAGGCCATAAAAATGGAGCCCGAGAGTTAATCACATGCAGCACATTGAGAGAAAGTGCATCCTCTCTTGCAGAATCAGTCTGTTAATGTCTGCAGGAGTTCGTAGATACAGCTCAGAGGGTTGACGCTATTTATGTAATATATTCTCTGAGTTTTCTGGAGTGGGAGAGGCCATCTTTTCTTCTTTGAAGCTTGCTCTCACATACTGTACTTCCCTCTTTGCTTGACACTCTAAAGAATCAGAGGAAAATTTAGCTGTTTGCTTTGAGGCAACTTACCTGAAATGTCAAGGGAGTGTCCTCACACACCTGTTATAACTTTAATGAAGAAAACTGATTCATATCCAGGGGAGTGATAAACAAACCAGATGGGACCATTAGAAAAAAAAGTGTGCAGTTTTGTGTCTCGAAATTGGAAATCCTGCAAAGTTTATAATCAAAAATCATGTACAGGTTTCTGGTCTTTTGCATGAGAGCATTACGTCACCTCACCTTCCTGACTTGAGTGCTGTTTGGGGAGAAGTGCATCTGTCACAGCTTCACTGTAGCTCTGTCTGGTCCTCTCAGGCGAGTTCTCCCTTGACCTGCGTCCTTCCTCTTCATCCCCATCTTCTTCTTCCACCTCCAGTCTCCCTGCAGGATCGGCGTTGCACTGAGGCAGCCCGAGACACTCTGCAGGCTCTAAACTCCCTCTCATCCCATCAGCCTCTTTGCACGCAGACTCTGGATGTTCTCCCAGCTGGGTCGGGGGACCCTCCTCATCCTGGGGTGTATTTCTGGGGAGCGTAATGAAGAAAGAGATTATTATCACCGTGAATCTCTGTTTGAAGCCACACCCTGTGGTGTTTCACTTTTATGCACGATGTCTGTTTGTTCTCAGTGCTTCAAAGGATCTAATTAACCCCATTAAATTATGTCTACAGCACCCTGAATAGCAGCAGAAACGAGCATGCTGTCATGTGTTTACCTGCCTGCTGTTACCAGGTTTACTGTGGGCGTAGTAAACACTAGCTGATGGGGAGAAGCACTGTGTGAACTACTTTTAGCTTTGTACACCGCGTTCCAAATTATTATGCAAATTGTATTTAAGTGTCATAAAGATTAAATTTTTTGTTTTTCAATTAAACTCATGGATGGTATTGTGTCTCAGGGCTCTTTGGATCACTCAAATCAATCTCAGACACCTGTGATAATTAGTTGGCCAGGTGAGCCCAATTAAAGGAAAAACTACTGAAGAAGGATGTTCCACATTATTAAGCAGACCACCATTTTCAAGCAATATGGGAAAGAAAAAGGATCTCTCTGCTGCTGAAAAGCGTGAAATAGTTGAATGCCTTGGACAAGGTATGAAAACCTTAGATATTTCACGAAAACTTAAGCGTGATCATCGTACTATTAAGAGATTTGTGGCTGATTCAGAGCACACACGGGTTCGTGCAGATAAAGGCACAATGAGGAAGGTTTCTGCCAGACAAATACATCGGATTAAGAGAGCAACTGCTAAAATGCCATTACAAAGCAGCAAACAAGTATTTGAAGCTGCTGGTGCCTCTGGAGTCCCGCGCACATCAAGGTGTAGGATCCTCCAGAGGCTTGCAGTTATGCATAAACCTTCTATTCGGCCACCTCTAACCAATGCTCACAAGCAGAAATGGCTGCAGTGGGCCCAGAAATACATGAAGACTAATTTTCAAACAGTCTTGTTCACTGATGAGTGCCGTGCAACCCTGGATGGTCCAGATGGATGGAGTAGTGGATGGTTGGTGGATGGCCACCATGTCCCAACAAGGCTGCGACGTCAGCAAGGAGGTGGCGGAGTCATGTTTTGGGCCGGAATCATGGGGAGAGAGCTGGTCGGCCCCTTTAGGGTCCCTGAAGGTGTGAAAATGACCTCTGCAAAGTATGTGGAGTTTCTGACTGACCACTTTCTTCCATGGTACAAAAAGAAGAACCGTGCTTTCCGAAACAAAATCATCTTCATGCACGACAATGCACCATCTCATGCTGCAAGGAATACCTCTGCATCATTGGCTGCTATGGGCATAAAAGGAGAGAAACTCATGGTGTGGCCTCCATCCTCCCCTGACCTCAACCCTATTGAGAACCTTTGGAGCATCCTCAAGCAAAAGATCTATGAGGGTGGGAGGCAGTTCACATCCAAACAGCAGCTCTGGGAGGCTATTCTGACATCCTGCAAAGAAATTCAAGCAGAAACTCTCCAAAAACTCACAAGTTCAATGGATGCAAGAATTGTGAAGCCGCTATCAAATAAGGGGTCCTATGTTAAAATGTAACTTGACCTGTTAAGATATTTTTGATTGAAATAGCTTTTGATTTCAGTAAATATGACCTCCTAATGCTGCAAATTCAACAAATGACTATTTTCAGTTCTTTACAACCTAGAAAATGTGTTGAAACTCTGTTGTGCATAATAATTTGGAACAGTGCATTTTAAGTTTTTTATTTTTGAAAAAAATACTGTTTTCATTGGGAGGTTTGTTCAATAACATTTGAATTAAACTTTAACAGTTGATGACTTGAAAATTATGTTGACTGTCATTTGCATCGACTATTTAGGAAAATCAGAGAAAAATATTTGCATAATAATTTGGAACGCGGTGTATTATTCTCAGTGTATGACCACAAGTTCACTTCTTACCTAACATGTTTTATTTTCTAACAGTTTAATATTCTGGGACCTGCAGAGCCACAGTAATCATCTTCTACACGTTGAGCCATATGTACACTGTGATTTATTTACATTGCAAAGGCATGCAGTTGTGTACATGATTGTAATTGTATTTTGTTTGTTGGGTGGTTAATGTTAGGTTTGGCTATAGGCCAGCTGCAAAGGTTCAGCTCAGTCAGCAGAGCGTGGTGCAAACATTGCAAGGTTTTGTAGATATTTCCCTCTGGGCTGAAAAATGTTGGCAGTCATGGTGTTGCCAGGCAGTTTAGATAGGTGTTCCCCAAACACTGTGCTACATTCAGTCGTAATGTGGAGTTCATCAACTGCAACTGTTCAGTCCAAGTTAGCGTTCATGTTCTTTGTCCTTTCCCACCACCCACTATTCTTTCAAATGGTTAGGAAAATGATATCTTTTCCAATTTTGGTCACATTTCTTTGAAATTAACGAGCATACAGTTTCCTCACCCGTCACTGAGGCTCATCTGGGACTGGAAGGGACTGTTGTCCAGGCTGCGGCCCAGACTGCAGCTCTCATCACAGCACAGAGACGGGATCAGGTGGACTGGACCTGAACATCACACATACAGAAACATGGAAATTCACCCACCTGCCATCACCTCCTAGTCTAAAAGCACAATAAGCCACTCCACAGTGCACCACTGAAGTCTGAATACAATGCTTTCATTATAGTCATCAGTTGTTTGACCAGCTACAGCTGTAGTATAAAGTCCCTTTAGTCTGAACCACAACCTACCACAGGTGTGTCCGGGGCCCAGGTGACACTGGCAGCAGGGTCTCTGGGGGAAGTCGTGGAGCCAGCGTGGGTCCAGGCAGGACAGCTCTGCTCCGCTGTACGGACAATCCTGGGACCTCAGAGAGGCCGCTGAGGAAAGATAGAGACAGTCAACAACTGAGACATACACCCATAACCCATACAGCTGAGCTCGTCCACAGGTACCACTTTTATAAAAATAATAGTATATCCTTTAGCAGGGCTTTATATTTTGTCTTACTAATGATTTACAGCTCAGTTAAGCCAATAAAAAGAACAACTTCTGGGTTGCCAGGTTGTGAAAAATCTCACCAGTCTGGACTGACATAACCATTCATCAGCTGGACCAAATGCATTTTAACAACCTTTTAATCATTTCAGCAAAAAGACACTCAAAGAAGTTTTTCCCAACATGACCTTTTATAAAGTATGCCTCATTACAAGTTGGTGCCTTTCTACTTTTATAGCATAAACACTTCACTCCAATAAGGATAAGAGAAACTAGTCTGGGTTTTTTATGAGTAATTGTTGCTGTCAGGTGAAATCCTCGCAGCTTCAGTTGTGGTGTTTATCTGACTAAACTTACGTGCCCTCCTATGCGTTGGGAAATGCCTCACCACCCTCGGGTCCATGAGGCCGATTAAAATTCTTTAGTATAATTTAAAAAGTGACTGTGTTAGTGTTTTGCAGCAGCTTGGGTGAAGGGTGGGGTGCATGTTTGGACTGAGCGAAAAATATTTAACTCGTGCATTCACCTTATGCCGTTTCAGTGAGAAAAACACACAAGTGGTAACGCCTTGGTTACTTCTGCCACACTCTTTGTTTCAGGGCGAGCTCACCGGGGAAACATGATGTCATTAACTCTTTGCCCTGGGAAGTTTCACATACTCAAAACGCATTTGGCCTCAAGAATGCTGCTCATTATACAAGTTCCCACAAATATGCAACATCAGGGTTTAATAAGGCTTAACACTGGAGCTCGCGACTGACAGATGAACTGGCACTCTGTTTGTGCAGCTCACAAAAGAGTGATGAAATCATACTTATCCAGCTGTATATACTCCTCTTCATTTACCTTATTAAGGGCTCCATAAGTGCCACTCATATCGTAAAGTATTTAGCTCTTCAACAGCATTGATCCCTGCAGTGCGCTAAAAAAAAAGCTTCCAGCTACAACTTCCACACAAGCACCTGCTCAGTACACCTCGAAGCACACAAGTGAATAACACATTGGGGATAACATATCAGCATGTATATCTTCTTTGTTTGCTCTGTGTGATAACTGAATATAAAGTATGAGCTTTCCCTTTAATCTCGAGTACAGAACAAATTGTACCAGAGATTCATTGGCTGTGCATTGAAATGCCAGCACCTGGGGAGGGGGTCAACGTTCAATGCTCACTGCATAGACCTACATGCAACCCTGGCTTGAGAAGAATGCACTGCGTCTATAGAGAGCAGTTGCAGTGGTGCATTTAAAGTCTTTTAAAATGTGAACCTAACTTTAGGCTGCTCTTCAAAGCACCACTCATTATTTGTAATTTGTTTTAAAGAAGCCCCTTAAGCTTCTTCTTGGCATTTATTAAATTTAGACTTTTTGGACAATGTGAACAAGTGTGTGCAGATGTTGTGACTCACCACTGGGCTTCTTCTCCAGCAGCTGTCTCTTGCAGTAGATGACACACAGGACCAGCAGGGCCAGCAGCACGGTGGCCAGAGCGCTGCAGATGACCGCGGCCAGGGCCATGTCCCGCGGGCTGGTCACCACCGAGGGCAGCGGCACCAGGTTCACACGCCCACTGCCTGCGAAGAGAGCGGAGGGAGGTGAGTGTGATATACAGCTGAACAGCAGGGCGTAAAATGTTGACTGATTCTTTGATTGACCACATGGCAGCAGACCTAGTCAGCTTATTTCAAGGTGATGAGTGGCATTAACATTAGACCAAAGTAAATACACAACTTATCTCTCATATTAAGCAGGTATGGGATAACACATAACAAGGAGCAGTAGCTTCACATAATCCGACACTCCTCAGCCAATCAGAGCTGGGTAACGTGAGACAAATTATTCCTTTGCGCCTCGAGCCAGTCATCTCGTTGCTAAAGTCTAATGAAATACGCAGAGGAGTTCAAAGAGAAAACGCCTGTGGTGGATTCCCTATTTATCTGCCTCTGTCTCATTCCCCACAGAAGATGATTTACAGACACCCCACCCCCCACCCCCCCACCTGCCCCAAGGCTCCCTCACATGCTCGTCATACAGCCCTGAAATCAAGAGGCAGACGTGCTGGCCAGGCAGCAAGTGAAGTGGGTCACGTATGAGTGTGCCGTGTTTTCTTTTCTGCTGCTTTTTGTGTTGTCATTGTGTCTGTGGTGGTGAGTTGTGTGCACATGCACTGATTTCATGATTAAGCCACTGTTAAACACGAGGGGAAACGTGATGTCACGATTTGCCTCGCCCTCGGGAACCTTCACACACTCTCATGTGAAGACTTTTGGCCTCAAGAATGCTGCTCATTATACAAGTTCCCACAAATACAGAACATCAGGGTTTAATACGGCTTAATGCAAGATATCATAACATAAGACAGATGAACCTGGCATGTGCTCCATTTAATTATCCTCTCAAACACTCATCAGAGATAAAGGCACAATATGTGATTCAAATGTAAACTAAAGAGCAGCAAAACAAAACTGAAACTTTCCATCGCCCTCAAACTGAAGGGCTTTTTTATTTAAAGTAGGGTTGCAGCTGTAACCAGTTTATAATTGTAATAGCTTTATATTTCACCAAATACATCTTTCATATTTGTTCATATTTTGTTGTTGCTTTTTTTAATGTGTTCATACTTGTTTCTGTATTTATTTGGGGGAGATTTTATTCTGGTAAATCCAATTTTTGTTTTGACATTTCGGTGACGCCATTTCCTGTAGATTTACACTATCCTCCTCACTCTGGTTTGTGGAAAGCTGGTCATGAGAAGCTGTTGTACTGATTATAATGGGCTTTGGAGAGAATAGCGAGGCAGAAGTTGTACTCGTCTCCGTCCTCATCATCCATGAACACAACGCAGAACTTAAACATTGTGTTATGCACATTTTGTAATACTATTTAAAGCTGTATTACCTGACCTGTTTCCCCCACTTCGAAGCAGTGAAGTGGGGGAAAAAAGTAGGACTGAGTGATATGTCCGGAAAATTCTAGCATGATATTTTTAGACTATATCTTGATACACAATATATATCTCAATATTTTTAAATCTTCTCCCAAGCACTTCAGTAAGACTAGGACTGGGAGACAAAATCGAACCTTACAATGTTTTAGACCAGATACGCTGTCTGATGCAAATAAACTAGGGAAAAAAACACTATTTATGCCATATCATGATACAATAATATCCAAATCTAAGATGGTATGTAAGCTCATATCTCGATAACGATTTAATATCTTCATATTGCCCTGCCCTAGCAAAAAGTCAGCTGTTTTAAGTTGTTCTCATTCAGCATTCATACTGATACCTACTAAATGTTTTGCTATAGCTGCGAAATTCTCCTCTGTCCTCACCAGGAAGAGCTTTTCGCTACAAAGAGCTGCCTGCTGCGCCTAAAACTGATCAATGACAGTGGTTAGATTGGACCAAATTATTATGTGTCTTGTTGCCACACAGTTCCTGATTGGTGACAAGGAAAATGTAAAAGAAGGAAGGGCCATGATGACAGTGACGCGTTTTTAGGAGTCAGACTTTGGTGCTAGTTCTATTGGAGTCAATGGGATGGACGCAGCAAATCTCACAATAAGCCACTGTATCTTTGTTGTTTTCCAATTTGACTGATAATTCCTACGTGATGTATGTTTATCTAAATATGTGTGCTCGTTTTCTTTGTTATTGGTCTCCAAACAGATCATGGCTCTGTCCTGCAGTGGCTGAGATGCAGCTGACAGAGCCATGATCTGTTTGGAGACCAATAACAAAGAAAACAAACACACATATTTAGATAAAAAATGTCCGTAAGCATCACTTAATGTGTGTTTTTTTAATCTGGTGGAGGGATAGTTCAGTCAAAGTTGAAACAACAAAGATAAGATGGGTTATAGTGTGACTTGCTATATCCATCCCAATGACTCCAATACAACCGGCACCAAAATCTGGCTCCTGGAACGCTGTCACTGTCGTCATGACCCTTCCTTCTTCTATATTTTCCTTGATTAGTGACGTGTAATTTCAAATAAAAAACAGCTCCACTTTGTGGTTCTCAAGTTGCCAAGTAATCTGTGCGCTCAGAGATAAGTAGCAAATTTTTTAATGTCTGACTGCAGGTTGAGACTGAACCATGACATGAACAAATCATGCGGCTTTCTGGGTTTATTTGGGGAACTGAGTTATGAAAATCCTAAACCAGCAGTGGCTGCTGCAGCATGTTACTGTTAATCACACAGACTTTATAAACAAAGAAACAGCAGTCTGTCACTTTCCAGACATCCGGCGTGATAACCGAAATATGAGGGAGCAGCGTTACATCAGATCTGCACGTTCCTCATGAGCTCTCTGGTTTGTAGCTTTAAGAGGAAGTTGGAGAAGAAACAGTAGCACACCTTAATTCTCCATTTGAGTGACATTTCCCTCTGAGGCCATTCACATGTAAGCTTAACATAATTGTCTCAGATCATTATCAGTAATCAAATATAATTCTTCTGATCAATGCATGATAGGGAAGGTGTGGGTTACTGCAGAGCAAACATTAAAGGTACGCTGGTCTGACACGGAGAAACAGACCATTTCACAACAATGTGGAGGGAGAAAAAGAAAATGTGAGGGACTGTTGATGAATACTGCAAATATAATGAATGGCTTTTTGTTTGAGAGAATCTTTTTCAGTGAGCCCTGCTGTTTGCTTTCAGTACATTAATCATAACGGGAACTGGTTTCAACCTTTTCACATCCAAGAGCTCTTTGTTATCCACTGTAAACATTACTTTAGCTTTGGGCAGTTTTTTTTATTCAGCCAGATAGGGGATAAGGGTATTTTAACATTCCTTCTGACAGGAAAAAAAGAGAAAAACTCAAAGCAGCGCTGTGAAACTTTGTCTGACCCAGAGGGCACAGTAAAGGAGCACTTTCATATGAGCACTGAAGAGTACGTATTACTTTTTTCTTTTACATATTGCCACATTCCAGATCATACAATCACTGAAACTCTCTAAATAAATATAAGTTTATATAAGACGTACAACAGTTTAGCTGTGACGTTTTTATGTGCATGTAATCCTACTGATCCCACTTGAAGACAAAGTATCACCCATTAAGACATAAATGAACATTAAATCACAGCAGACAGAAGCTTTCTCTCACTATTAAAATATAATACTATATATATGTGACTAAAAATGGTGCACCATTTCTCCAGGGTGTCCACAGGTATCAAACACTTATGTTTAATGCTTTTTAAGACCTTTTTAAATTATTTTAAACCGAATTTAAGACAGAATTTTGGACAAATCATTCATTTGTAATTAAGCATTGCTGGTAAGTATAAAGGTAAGGAGTATATATGTTGCAGAGGCAGGCGTTTATGTAGGAATAGAGTTATGGAAGTGAGTTCGATTAATCTACATTTTGTATAAAGTAAAAGACAGTGTTAAGTTCAGTGACTTTCATGCACAAGAGCTTGATTCATTTTGACAAAAAAAGCAATTAAAAGATGAATAAATTAAATTAGATAAAATGTTTGTGGAGATTAAGACCTCACAAGTTCAAATTCGAGACTATTTAGTAACTTTTATGGCCTCATATCTATAAAATTGGCTTTTTAAACAAAAGAAAAGCTTTGTAAAAGATTTATAAAGCACAATGTGCTGCACAAAGTACAAGGAAGAAGTTGGGAGGCACAAAATAAAGCCAGCAACCAACTATAAAAGTGAATCAAATCCATTAAAACCAAGGAAAAATGTCATTAAGTAATAATTAAGATGAAGAATAAACCAATAAAAGATGCAAAGACATGAGTGGAGTATGCTGCCTCAGTAAAAGCTGGACTAATAAAGAAAATCTTAAAATTAAATTTAAAGAATAATACTAAAAGTAGACCATTAAAAAAGATAATACATATGAATTAAAAGAGCAAAAAAACAACAGTAAAAGATAAATAAAAAACAGAAGATAAAAAAGATAAATAGACCAGTAAAAGAAGATGAGAAATAATAGATAACAGAAAATAAAATAATAGAAAAATAAAAAATAAATAATAAAAAAATAAAATATTAAATAAACCAATAAACCAGTGAAAGTAAAATCACACCTGAGTTAAAAGCGATAAAAGAAATAAAATAAAATAAAAATAAATTAAATTAATTAAATTTGAAAATAGTCCAGAGACACCCTGTTCTCATAATAGCATGGTGTCATACCGTCATGTGTAATATTAAAATTTGAGACTTACAATGAGTTGTCATTGCACGGATCACTTCACACACACAGAAACTGTACTGCATTGTATTGGTAATCCCCAGATGTAACAACTGACAATGGTGTTTACATTCGGTCTTCATTGTCAAGGTCAAGTTAAACTCATCCAAGGTGAGCATCATCTGCTCCTCAACACAAAGGCAGCCTGTTATCAGAGGCCCAGCAGCTGCAGCAAACACAGATAAACACTAGTCCATTGAAGAGAGCTCACCTGCTGATATTATCTCCACACAAACCAGACCAATAAACCACAGCCTTTCATGCACTCCCTGCCTGTTGACTTTATGGGATGCCACATACTCCAAATAAAAGAGGCACTTCTTTACACCTCAGAGGGATCTTTGACTTTTGTCTGCACAAAGAGGCTCTTTAGGAGAACTGAGCTTTGTTTTGCTCAGAACTCTGAATAAAGAGAGAATAAATGTTTTTCTGACTGCAGTCCTAAGAGCTGTGAAACAGTGTTTCCTATTTTATGTGAAGATATTTAAAATTGTTTAACACAGAATTTATTCCCAGAACCTTGAATTGATCACTGTGACTCAATTGTCACGTGAGAAACGATTAGGGGTGGGAATCACCAGAGGTTCGTGATGATATTATCATGATCCTACTGACGATACAATATTGCCACACAAAAATATCGCAATACTATGCAGTATTGATTTTTCCCCCCACCCCAAGAAACAATAAAGGCACCTAAATCACTATAAAATTACTATACATCGTTTTTAGAGGTGATGCTATTCTCTAGAAAAACCCTGGCGAGGAGCTTAAAGTAGGCTAGCTGTTAAGGTTTGATGTCTCTACTCAGCTCTACAGTAACTTGTAACTTGAGCACTAAAATTTCCACATCACTTTTTTTTTTAATCATATCGGTTTCACGGTATTTGACAGTATTTTGCTCGGGTTCGGCCCACTTGACATGCTGCTGTGTCGTGCTATGGTCTATTCAAGTGCCGGAATTTGTTATTTATGTGACAACGCCTGAACACAACACAGGCTCCGCTCCATTAGTGCCGTGCTCGGTCATAATTGTCTCGGACTCGGGATGGGTCGGCTTCGGTCAGGAAAATGCGGCCCAAGCTGTGCTCTAGTGTACTTACCTTTGTGTGTGTGCGCACGTGTCTGTGTGACACAGATAGAGAGAGCAGAAGAGAATTGTAAACGGCGGTGCGCAGCCGCAAGTTGCTTATAGCGGAAACACTGCTCTTTGTGGCATGAGTTCTTCTGGGTCATCGTGTGCAGACTCTCTCCGGCAGCCATTCTCGCCTCTAAACTTTTCTCTATGCTCTCACTCTCGCCGGCTCTAGCACGCTGGCTATTCACCAGTATTGCGGTATATGAAAAATTCATATCATAACGAAAATAAATACCAGTTTTCGGTACGAACCAGTATACCGCCCAGCCCTATTGAGCATGTTCAAAAAATGTTATTCAGTAAATATATAAACAAAGGAATTAGCTGCTGCTTCAAAGATTTGGAAATCTAACAGCTTTGCTTCATTTGATGCCTTTTCAGACAGAAAGTTCAAGAAGACGAGCATCTTATCATCTGGTATTCCTTTAAATTTGTAATCATGAATTCAGTTTCCTCGTCTTTTATGAGAGAGCGTTCACATGGAAGTCTGTTTTAGATTAGATTCTCCAGATGAACATACACTGAACACAAAAACACTTTTACAGGAGCTGTTTCTGCACGTTCAGTACCAGAGACCAACTGTACCATTAAGAGGTACCACAGACAACGTATTAAATCATCACTTTGCATTCTTTCAAAGTGAAACTGGATATGTCTGCTGGGATGATTTATAATATACAAAAGCACGACACCCAAGGTGTTTGTGGTAAAACATTTTACAATCATCACGTCTTGTAATGTAACACCACCAAACATCGTTGCTGCTGTGCAGCTGTGGTTTGATAATTGCATGATAAGTTAATTAAGACAGTAGTGAGGACAAACTGATCTGCAATCACCAGATATCATCATTCCAGCTGCTGACGTCTGACAATACTGAGACACTCTGGTTTGAATTGCTGGCAGGCAACTGTAGTCAGGAATGTTTCCCGTACCTTGCCAGCCTGATATGTTGTGTCCCATCTGTGGTGAGAACTGATTGCATGAAGCTTTGAAGTCGGTTGGCATGCCACAGAAGGGAAAAAGTTTTCTCCATGTGACAGGATGGGGCGTTGAGGCGATCGGGAGGGACAGAGGTTCATTTGATCATGTGTCCTTTGGCTAGTCATCACAAGCTCTAATAGCAGCATGGAAAAAGGGATACGCGGCAAATACCAGTAGCAGCTGCTCTCCAGAATTTGCCCCATTTCTTTGAGATATTTAATTTGTGAAAGAAGGGATATCCTGCCTCGAATATCAAAGATAACTGTTGTTTTGTGGCTGCACTTAAACCAACACCATTGTTTCTCTTTACACTGAACAAAGAGAGACAATTCCCACCTGAATTGCGTAATCCGGTTGAAAATAGTAATAAGCACAATGCAGGGATAAGCTACAAAGCACAGGTAGGGATTGGCTCTACGTGTGTCTGTGTGCATGCCTATGTATGTTAGCATGGTCTACCATGACAGTGAAAAACTCCAGCAGATGAAACACATTAAAGAGGCTGAAGGAATCCATAAAACACAATCTCGTTTTTTACTCGGCTCCAAAAAAGCCACTGGGGGAAAGGGAGGAGAAGAAAAGGGGGGGTGGTTTAAGATTTACAGTCCGTCCCAGACGGCGACTGCCTCCCCTGCACAGATGCACCGTTGCCCCCGGGGCCAGTGTGGCCTATTAGAATGATCTGCCCTTCAAGTTTTCACCACCTTCCTCAAGATAACACTGGAGGGAGGGAGCAAGACTTTCAAACATTTGGAAATGCTCCACTGAGAGTCCCTGCAGGAGCTAACTACCAGCTATGTTCTGAGACACAATAGCCATTTTGTTTCGTAGGCCTCCTCCAGTATCAAAACGGGAAGCGGCACAGATGGACAAATGAGCAGATGGAGGGAGGCCAGTTGTTTCAAAGCCGACATTCATCACAAAACACTGCAACAACATATTAAAAAATATACAGACTGAATATATAGACTGAAAAAAACTAACATAAAAGCAAACAAACAGCGGATGATCTGATGAAATCGTGATTCTTCCCATTTGGGGCTTGTGAGTAAACAACTTTTTGTTGTCTGCTATCCCAGAGCTGTCTCCATTCATTTAACGTGAGGCTGCTCACCCTGGTCTGGGACCGCTCTGATGCTAACGCTGCCAAAAAGCCTCCTCAGAAACAGCTGCAGCCTCCTCTACCATCAGGAAGTCACACTCAATTACCAAAGGTATAAGTTCGTTCGCCTGTTGGTTTTATGTGGAAACCTGAAATCATAAGGTTGTATTTAACTACTCCTAATGGCCGGAAGACAGACGTTAATTGGCTCTGTAGCCTACTGGAATGCAAACCCTGCTTTGTGAGCATACTGTAACACCTCCTGTCTCCTTTTTGCATAATGGATCTGCGCAAAAAGGTAATCAATTGTGCTGCTTGAGCCGGCACACTCCCTGTCGTGTTTACTCTGGTGCTGAAACAAAAACACGTAGAACAGTGCAGCCCTTTTTCAAACACCATTGAGACGTGTTTTGTCTAGAAATATAAATGGAGGTTTTGTTCAAGGAAGTTTGCTCTTTTAATCCAAAATGAGCGCTAAGATGGAGTGACACTCTGAGCTAACATAATCCAGTGTTGGCAAATCCAGTATTATGTTAGCGGTATCCATTTCAGCTTTTCAACTGCTTAGCTTGTAAATCCAAGCATTTATTTGCACATATAGCTCGGCCACTTGGCTCAGTGAGACTTAGTGAATGAACTGTTGCTCGCTCCACCCTTCAACGTCTGCAGTTCTGGTTACACCAAAGACCGTGTGCTGGCATGTTGTGTGTGTGTGTGTGTGTGTGTGTGTGTGTGTGTGTGTGTGTGTGTGTGCAGGCTTTGTTGTGGCACTGCAGCCTGAGATTTGGTTCTGGTAGCATTTGGCTAGAAGTTCAATTGTGTGCAGAAGCTGGTGATGTTTGCTTTTAGACCACTGCTGTTTCATCTTTAAACATCACCTATTGTGGGCTTAGATGAATAGCCTCTATTCACTGGAACATTTAATGAAATGTCCAACTGATGTTAGGCCAACTGTTAGAGGAGATAAAAGAAAGGGAAGGTGCTTACAGTGTGGCTCATAAGGAGGTGGAGGGTCCCCACAGGGTATACACTCCATGTCCTGGAAGCCACTTAATTTTGTCTTCCTGTAGTATCTGTTGAAGACACAAAATGACACGTTCAAACCTGCAACAAACTTTCATAATGTAACATATTTAAGATACATGTTTGTCAGACTTATCAATGATCACTATCACAAATCTGTCCTCTCACCCCGGCAGACAGTCGCCACACACAGCGTTGCTGGTGGTGGAGCAGTTGCCCTTCTGGAAGCGGTTGATGAGTCCACAGTCCAGGCAGGGCTTGCACTTCTGCAGGCTCCGGTCCTCCTTGAAGCGACTGCTCCGGCAGGGCACGCACCGGGCATCCTCTCCATAACCAAAGCCACATTCCTGTGGGGATTAAAGGGAGAAATACACCGGGTAAGAGGTGGGGTCGGTGGTTTGGGGAGATGTGCAGCTGGTGAAAAGAGGGCTTGAATGTGGACTATCGGGGGTCTGGAATTAAAGAATGATCTTGGCTCGCGGGATCAGGGGAGAACAATGGCCTGCCTCTTTTGAGAGTCCATCTTACACTGGCAATAATCTCCCTGACTCTCTTAGTATGAATGAGCGGCCTTCCGCTGCAAGACCCAGAAAGGCCAGGCATTTGAATAATAAAGGCCTCGGGGGACACCCACTGTTGTATTATTGCAAGTTTATTGCTGCGTTTTTGTGTGACTCCCTCTCCAAGCAGACTCTGTGAGTGTCCCGTTGATTGAGAGGCCAGCAAGCAAAGGAAACGCTTCAGGAAGGGGGCAAGGATTATGGAGAGGTATATGGAGAAAATAAGATGAATACTCTTTTTGTCTTCAACAATGGAAAGTGCACTTAAAAAGCACAGCTTCCTACTACCCTGTGACTGATCTAATGCTGAGCCACCTTTCGGGGATTTGTTCACCTGGGCCGAACAAAATCTAAACTAGAGAAGACATTTTTTAGAGGAACACTTTTTTTCCAGTGACTAAAATATATAGTCTGGACAGAAGATTAAACACTTATCATGTTTAGTTGAATAACTTATCGGTATTTCAGTGTCAAGTCTTTCACATTATGTTATTATACAGCAACTGGCAATGTAGAAATACACGTATGATGTAGTTTAAAGGAGAATTTATGGTGAGAGGAACCCAATCTCAACACTGAATTCACCCCAAAATGTATTTGTTAACTTGGGCTGTAAATACATAACAGAATTCATATTAAGTATTACTCCAGCTGCTTACTTCTATCTGCCAATGTTACTCTTGTTTTGTCTCTTTCCTAATCGGTTCTCTGTCATATCCCTAAAAGTTATGTTGAAAGACTGGTGACCTCAATGACAAACTGACATTTACATGACAGCTGATACTACTGTACACCACACCGAGTGAAAAGACCCTGCAGGGATGACATCATACATTGATCATTCATTATCAGCTCCAGAGCAGCTGCCCCCCTGTTGTCTGGTGTTGCCACACGCAATCCAAAGCCAGAAGGACGGACAGGGGGGCGGGAGGTGCTCATATATCATTAAAGTGAAGGCCAGCTTCAAACAGGGCTTCTCTCTTCTCTCCTCTCTTCGCCCGTGTCCCATTTCACTGCCCGGGCATGCAGTCCTGCTGGAATGTGGGCACAAGAGTCTGATATGGGGGTTGGGTTTGGGGAAGCAGGCTGGCAAGAAATAAAACGGGAGGTTAGTGGCAAAGATGCGATCGTGTGATGGCACCATAGAGTCGGGGACAGAAGATGAGGATTTCAGTCCTTCCAGCCAAACACATGTGAGCCTGACATTGAACCCTTGGACCAGGCCTGGCCCGAGGTGGACCAGCTAGGGCTAGACTATTGCAGCTGTTGTTATGAACTCTCCATATATGGCCTTGCTCTCCAGCAAGGAAGGGAACAGTGGAGGTGGGGGGGGGGGACAGAGGGAGGGAAGAGACAGAGAAAGAGTGAGAAACAGCGAGGGGGTGGCTGATGAGTGATATAAAGGGGAAAGAGGGAATAAAGAAGATTCGGCCGCCCACTGCTGCAAGCCATGGTCTTGCCTGTTTGAGGGGAACGAAGCTCAGACTGAGCCAGCGGAGGCCGAAAAATTACCACGGCACTGAACCCTAACACTGGTCCTTAAGAAAGCACTGTGGGCCCGGCCATTGCAGGGTACCTCACAGTGATTCTGTGACCCACTTCCACATGAAGGAAGGGGCCCAGCGATGATTCATCCCCCCTGAGCCCAGAACTGGCACAAGCCCTGCCTGTGGGGCACCGCATGGCAGGATGGGGGCTAATGCCACGTAGACACGAGCAGGTCAGAGCACTGAAACAAAAGGAAAATGGAGCCAACTTCTGCCCCTCTGATCCAGGCAGCACAGATCATCAAGGAGTGATCTCTTTCTTCTTTTATCCCTGCTAACAAAGCTCCACAGAGCTGACATCCTGCGCTGATTGAGACTCGTTCAGCAGCTGAAAGAAAGACTGCTCTAAACTGTAATCTGTGATGTTGAAGTTATTATTACATGAAAAGGTGCGTACACAATGTGTAAGCCTTTTCCAACGCATAACGATAAAACTGCCACCAGTGTCCACAAAAGAAGACATATTCAGTCCGTTAAACCTGCATGAAAAGACCATATTTGCAGGGTGTGTAGAGGATACAATAATGGCAAAAACACCACAGTACACACAGAGGCAAATTAACTCTCTATTAAATACATCTGCTGGAAGTACAGGGACAATATCTGAGAAAACCACAGGGGATGCAGTCAAGAAGAAACTGCAAGAAAAAGAAGCAAACCAACATTCAACTTGAATGTCCGTTTCCATATTGTACTTTGAGGTGCTTTCACGTCAAAAGCCATCCAAAAAAGGCAGATGCTTAACATCCCATTTCCCTGTCCTATCTCCTGATCTAGTTTGGGTGAGACTGCCAAGCATAACAGCAGTGTGGAGGGGAGAGGAGCAGCAAGAGAGGGGAGAGCTGGCTGGGACCTGAAGCATGTTCAGACGCAGAGATATTTCTGAGATTAGGAGGGAATCACAAGGGGGGCGGCCAGTCATCTGATCTGGTAATGAAACGACGCTGAAAACAATGCATGTTAGTTAAAGCAGTGTTCTGTCTGGGACAAAATGTACGTACTCCTTTTGTTTTCCTCTTCATTACACTTTTTAAAGCTTTTTTTTTTACTGCCTCACTTCTTCAAACACAAGAATGGTGCAGCTAATGTCAGGCTGCTCAGATTTTGACCACTCTGTTGCTTATGCATTCCTTTGTTTCTCTCTTTAGCCAGTACCATCCAGAAGTCCTTTGCCCTGGGAGTGTGGCTGAAGGAAATGTTACACTCTTGCTACATACTACAAGATGTTGACACATCAAAGTTGTGTTCCTGCCTTTTTTTTTTTGCCACTGGCAGTTTTCCAGCGTGCACTGGAAAGCAATTCACCCCTTCCCCTTCATGCTTGACACAACACAAGAGACGAAGCAACTCGCAATGAATGAAACCAAGAATGAAATATGTCCGACAAAGAATAACTGGTTTTAATGGACGTCCCCTCTGTGTGGGTGGTTCTTTTAGCTACAGTTAGTGTGAAGGGGCTAATTGATGTTTGTCAGCTCGCCTAAGAGCGGCTTCCAGAGGCAAACTTCCAGAGCAAACTGGGGCACATTCCTCTGGGATCTCTATGGCAGCTGCACAGAGTGACTCCAAAAGTCTGCTTCCCTCCCAACAGTCAGCCCTGCCTTTCAGAATATGGACAGATTGTCTTGGTTACGCGGAGCTCAGATCAGAAGTAGTTTCTCTGGGAAACTTTCTCTGAGTGCAGGCCCAGGTCGCCACTGTGAGCCGGCATCCCGCTACCTTCAGAGAAAGAATGAGGCAGCCAATTATTAACCAGGACCCCAGGGTGGCTAGCAGCATTCAAGCCTGTTGAGCTGGCAGAGGAACACGAGGACTACTGAAGCGTATTACCAACCACAGAGTGCATGTCTGTGTGCACTGAGATTAAAGGCAACTTGGCTTAAATGCATGTGTGCAACAGATGTCAAGGGTGATACAGAGCTTTTTTTCTCGAGTGCTCACAGAAGTAGTGGAGTGTTAACTCGCCTAAAGTCAGTCTATCAGCCTTTTTATTAATGGAATACTTAAAACAACACATACCTTAAGTTATGACGACAAAAATCTCCTTTTGGAACCATTTAATTTAATTTACAGTGCTATCTTTTTTTCTTAAGGCCCATCAGTATCTCTCGACTAAATTGTTTATATAGTCGTGGCAGATATAATCTCATATGAATTCACTTGCTTGTTTATTAGGTACACCTGGCTCGTCTAACAGCCCTGCAATAAATCCTGAATGAAGGTTATAATGTTCAGCTTTTGTTTAAACTGTTTTAATTAAACTTTATGGTCGTTTTGTGAGCTGTTGAACTGTATAACGCAACACCTGGAAGCATTTGAAATATTTAGTTGACCATCGTCCGTATAAATGGTGTGTAACAGTGACTGTTAGTCTCTGTATTACAGTTGAATTATTGGAGGACCTGTCAACCACTTTGGGAGCAACAACAGGTTACAGTCTAATGTTTAAAAGTCAGGTGATGGATGGTGATTACTCTTTATGATTCTGCCTTTAAACTTTAAAACAATTAGCAAGTCGGTTGACTGTTTTACTTTCCTTTAAACGTAATTAGAGATGCTCTATTGCCATTTTTGGCCTCTGAACTTGTGTGTCGGCTAATAGCAAGTATCGATCTGATACCATTGCGTTAAAAAAGATAACAATAACAGCTGGATACTAATAACCCTGTATGGATGTGAAATGATAGCCATAATTGTGTATAGCGTGGCTTAGCTTAAACTCTTTGTAAAAAAATGCGTAAATACATACACAGCATGAATTTGGCAATGCGTCACCCCTCAGAACTAAAGCCTTGCATATTTTACATGCTCCTTTTTATTAGCGGGGATTTCCAGCGTAAAATACTGCCAACAATATTTTGCTAATGGCTCATAGTAAACCATTAACCATAAATCAATTTGTTTTCGCCGCTCTGCAACGCTATTTGCCAGTGGCTACACAGCGCAACTCGCTGTGTAGGCTCCTGCTTTAGAGAGGCGAAGAATTGATTTCCAGGAAAACTGCTGTTTGATCTGGGAGTGAAACTACTTTGAAGTTTATTAATCGATGCATAAACTCTCATACATAGCCGGTCAAGCATTTGAGGCAGCATCAGAAGCACTACCGATACTGGTAGCCGTATTGGAACAGCCCTAAATATAATTCAACTTGTTTTATTTTTTCAAATATTTAACTTTTATTTAACCAGGAAGTGCCGTTGAGATTGAGCCAATCAAAACACATTTAAAATGTACCAAATACAACATATAATACAAAAATCCACAATAAAACAACAACTATTCAAACATAGAGGCCTCTCAAGAAAATCAAGCACATGTCTCTATCACCACATTCTTTATGATGCCCTTAAATCCATCAATGGATATAAGTGTTTCTAATTTTAGATCAATTAAATTCAAGTTTCCTGTCTTGTACTAATCTTTTTAAATATTAAAACAAACTGCACAGGTAGAATTATCTAACCTGCATATGATGCACAACTTGTTAAGACTGAGAGGTTTTGAGGTGTCACATTATTCACTGTTAAATTAATGTTTGCTTTGCCACAAACCGATTCAGTGATTATACTTCACTCACTTTTACATTGCTGCCTACACTTACAAAAGTAGCTGCTGCCAGAGAGGAAAGCCTAAGCTGACACTATAAAAGCCTGTTTGTACAAAGCGAGCACACAAAAACCTGTGGCTAAGGTGGTGGAAAAAACTGTATTCCCAGTCGAAAGAGCAGCAAGCTTAGGCATGGCTTGCTTCAAACAGCGAAGACAATAAGTTGGACAGGGTGCAATGGGGAAAAACAATGGAAGCCATTCAGCTGCAGAAGGTCAAAAGTATGGGTGTGACTGATTAAAGAGGGGTCGGTGTTCTACAAAAGCTAATAACGGCTTGGCTGTTCTCTGCATGAAAGAGAGGAAGTAATAAATAATGTTGGTTCCCTGGATAAGATACACTTTTCTAAACACTGATGTCCATTCTTTTCATGAACCCAGCGTTTTTTTAAGAGATTGGAATCCATCCCACTTCTTTTCAGTTTGAGGAAGTCGATTCAACTGACCTGTTATGGATCCCTGGTGTTACTACACTTTGCTTTTCCTATATAAACAAGTGGCAGTATTTTTTCCATTTAGTGGCTATATGGAAAATGCTCCCGAACGATCACATTACTTCTTCTCTTTTTTTAAGTTCTTCATGTAAGATGATAAAAACAGAATAAGTAAAACAATCTTGCTCCAACCTTTGATAGCTCCTGTCCTGCATCACACTGCTTGCAGGGTTTACAGTTCCCAAAGCGGTCCTTGTACTCCTGCTCTCTGCATTCTCTGGTCTCCTCCTCGGCCCCCACAGGAATCTGACAGGGACAGTGGTTTGATGAAAGTTAGAGATTCCTATAACTCATCACCATTTACATCCATAACAGAAAGACGCAGAAACAGAATCCGCAGCTATGCATCATAATCTCTCTTATTTAAGGGATCAACCCTCGCTTTGGACTCTTCTTGAAAACAAGTCTGACGCTGCTGGGATGAGATAAGATGAAACTTTAATGAGCCCTGTGGGAAAACAACACAGTCGCAGCAGCTGAATCTAAGTCACAAGCAACAATGCAGGGATCGCCAAAACCAGAGACTAGGACACAGATAGCAAGTACAATCAGGACAGTGCTGTGGACAAAGGTGAAGTGATACTCAGCATTGTCAGAGTGTTACCAGCAAGTAGTTTACAGGTCCTGCAATGTGAGCAGTCGCCTGTTTAACAGTGGCATGTCGTGCAGTTCAAGTTCATGTGTGCAGCTTGTGCAAAAAGTTTGTAGCCTCTGCAGCTCATGTTTGGAGACATTTTACATGTTCCCCAGAAGTTAGTTTTCATTTCGAAAGATGGGAATGCAGTTGAAAGTTGTGAAAATAGCTACAACATGGATCCTGAGTTAGTATTTTTTGTTGAACTACGATTTCCTACATGTCAAAAATGGACTTTTACACAGGTTGCAAGACTTCAACATACAAGCTATACACACAATAATATTAACAGATGTGGGGTAGCCTAATTATAGGTTGTCAGAGAATCAAAAACACCTAATAATCTTGCTTTCTTGTGTTTAAATGAAAAAACTGAAACACTTACCAGAGCTGAACATATGATGTGCACAGTTAGTAGAAGAGAGAAGGTGTGTTGAAGGATCCAAACCATTTTGATGAGTTGCCTGCAGCTGAAAAAAAGGGACACAACAATAGACGACTGAGATTAATTATGTAATTATATTGCCTCTACACTATAATAAACACTTAATGAGTTGTGGAGAAGACAAACATATTTGATTGGGTCAAATTTTCTGAAGTAAAACAATAAACTTTTGTTTTTTATTATCACTACCATCAGTTCAGGTTTGTTTAACCGCTTAAATCCAGTTATTATAAACGTGTTGTGCAGCCTGCCTTTATTTAAAGCTGCATAATTTTATTTTACTTACAAGATAAGTCCAAAGAAAATGACGCACAACACATCTAAATATTTCCATTTAATGTATGCCCTATACTTTGCATTCACTGTACACATCAATAGGACATAGCTCCAGTAAAAAAGTATGATAAGCACACACAATATCTATACAGAGTGAAATATGCTAAACTTTCCAACCTTAAAGCTGCATTAGTTGGCGTCTAATGAAAGGGTAGACTGGATGATAAGGGGTTAAACACCTTTAAAATCACATTTTTCCACAGCTTTATAAAGCAGGTGTAGGCTGTGACGCACTAATTAAAAAATAACCACACGCACGAGCGAACTGTAGCACAGTTAATTGATGCTGTTTGATTAAAGTCTCAATAGCAGCTGCAAATAGAAGCTCAGACAGCTTCATAGCTTTACATTAGGAAGATTATCTTATAAAATCATTTCATAAAACTGCCTAAAAATCTCATACGCCCTTAAAATTGTCACAGGTATCCAACATCCCCAATTTAAAGTTACTGAATACGTGTAAAGCGAGTGGAAGTATAGATGTAGTTTAGCAGCTCGTGGCTTTAAAGCGACATTAGTTTCGTATAGTGTTGCTTTAATAACACAATATCATACTTGTAATATGAATTTAGAGACTTCAAGTTTACACCTTGTGTTCTGAAACTAACCAAACGCTTGCTCCGTGTCGTCTGTCCGGAGAGTGTAAGCCGTAAACGTCCAAAACCTACTAATAAAGCTCCTCTTACCTGCTAAAAGGCTCCTGTTGATCAAAGTATTGATTGTTAAAAGTCGAAGGCAGACCGGTGAGAGGTGTGGTGCTGTGTTTCCCGCACCGGTCCGCTCACCATGTCAGCGCTGCAGCTCCAGCCCAGCTCAGAGGAGCAGCAGCAGCAGCCGGGGGACTACACTCGGCGCACACATCAAAGGCGGGGAGAGGGGGGTGGCTTTATGGATCTGAGGCGCATGTATCTGATCTGGGATCAGCCCGCAGACATCAAAGACCCGGTCCCACACAGCGCTGACCGAGCTCAGGCAGAGCAAAGTGTGATCACTGATCGGCTGGTTAGAGAGTCGATATGTTGTTGAGGAATGTCGAAGCAGAAGAAGACGACTTTCTTTCTCTGTGTGTCTCTCCCCTGTTTGTGTGTGTGTGTGTGTGTGTGTGTGTGTGTGTGTGGTTTATTTGATGGCTGTTTAATGGCAGCCAGCCCTCTGAGTTTTGAGCCACAGCCAAACTGTGGTCCGTGGACCTCCAGAGGTCCTTCACAGCGTCCCTGCCGGTCCCTACTTTTAAGTTTAACACTTTCCCAGCCAGAGTTTAATTTTTAAGTTGCCAACCACCGGCAGCATTTTCTTTAACCATATCCACTAATCATTTACTTTTTTTCTCATTTCCTTATGTCAGTTTGAATTGTATAATGAAAAAAAGAAGAATGCTTCCTCCCACAGTCCAAAGACATGCAGGTTAATTGGTGACTCTAAATTGTCCGTAGATGTGAATGTGAGTGTGAATGATTGTCTGTCTCTATGGGCTCTAGTTTCCCGGCGCGGCGCAGGGTGGCAAACCCCGCGCAGAGCTAGTTTCGAGCGGCGCAACCCTAGGCGCACTCAGTTTGGTAGTTTGGCAGACTGAGGTGCGCTGAGATGGGTGTGGTGGCGCAGCAGGGGGAGGTGTTGACATATCCAGCTTGGCGCAGTGACAGTTTTGTGCCAAAAGGCTTCGCCAAAGGTGCGCTAAAAGCTCGCCATCTGAAACCAGGTCTACTGTCAGCGCAGTTTGGCTGACCGGCGGACAGTCCACACGTCACCAAAAACAATGTCAGGCACATTAACGATGCAATAAATAGACAAAAAACCACTATTCAATGCAACTATCTGCAATCAGCACATAAATGTATCTCTATATCAACTGTCCCGTCACATCTGATGTCAGATCAAAGGGGATTGGCACCGTTTGGCACATTTGGCACGCATAATGGAAACCCAACCTGATTTGATTAACACAGCTGCAAACTAATGAGTTCACATCCCTCTCAGCCAACCACAAACAGCCACAGCATCAGATAGGGAGTATATATTCAGCATCTGTCATCTTAAAAAATTCAAAAGAAAAGAAACAGAGTGAGACTGCGAGAGAGAAAGAGAGCGCGTGCGCGCACGAGAGAACTGCAACATTGATTTACAATTGTGGTGACCTCCTCCCAGGCTACCTTTGCATCATCAGCCCGTGGAGGTCTGCTCACAGTTCCATATATTCGGACACTGCGAGCTTGGACCTCCCGGACCAAAACATCAGTTTCCTCCTGGGAGAAGTTTGGCCGTCTGACGCTGCTGCTCTCTTCTGCCATGACAAATTGAGTAAACTCTCATTATGCCTTCGGGCGGCGCATTTAAGGGCGAGGAGAGGGGCTCATTTGATTGGTGTGATGTGTGTAAAACCCACTCCACGCCTTCTCTCCTCCCTCCTTCCGACTTGTGCAGGTAGGAGGGACGGAGATGGGAAAGAGGAGTAGCTGCGCCAGCACGCACAGTGTGCCAAACTTGCAAAATCCGCCTGGCCACACCCAGTCGGCGAAGCACAGGTGCGCTGCACCTCCACCTCGCCCGGTCTGCGAAACTAGAGGCCTATGTGTCAGTCCTGTGATAGTCTGGTGACTTGTCCAGGGTGTACCATGCCTCTCACCCAATAGCCCCTTTTACACTGCCAGATTTTCGGCGAATGTTGGGCCGTTTTGCTGGCAAGCTGCGAGCGTTTAGACACACAGAGCTGGATTGGCGAGTTGATCCGAGGTGCCCAATTTTCCGCCCCATAGGGTAGACATATTGGCGGAACCTTTTTGGTATAAAAAGAACAGGGCACCCTTCCGCAACAGGAGGGGCTGTTGATGACTTGTGGGAGGAGCTGTTGATGACACCACACATGCGACCCACCGGCGGTGGATAAACAGGAAACAGCTGATAGCAGGAATTAGCGAGCAGCTAGTAGCAAGAGGGAAACACGAACCTGACAGACACTGTAAAGATGAGCAACTGGGGAGACAAGGAATTGCGCGCCCTCCTTGTCCTCGCAAAGGAAGAGGCCATTAACTGTCAGATGACGGGGACGGTGAAGAACAGGCCAACTTATGAGAGAATTGCCGAAGGACTGAGCAGCTGCAGCTTCCCTCAGAGTACGTCACTGTTTACGTCACACACTGAGCTACATGTTTTATTACTTGCTCACACCCCTCATTGCCCCAAAAAAGGCACATTCTGTATAAACAAAAGTAGGTAGGTGGCGTTTTGCTGCACTCCCTGATTTTGTTTTTATACTGCCAATGCTGAAAGAAGACAGATTGGGCTTTTCTGCAAATTTGCACAATTCCTGTTTATGTCAGCTGGGATAGGCTCTAGCCCCACTGCGACCCCTAACAACAGGATAAGCTGTTATGGAAAATGAATGAATGAATGAATGAATACTCTCTATGAGGTAAAGCAGAACACATTGTCATGTTCTGTGATTGTTTAATGTTCTTTTGTCTCCCTCTCCTCTGTGGTTGTCTTGTTGATGTGTCACTGTCACTGTCATGGCGATCCCATTTCGTCCCACCAAACTCGTTTGCGTCTTCGTCCAAATCAGATGCAGAATGTTGATCGAAACAGGAATTGTCGGAGTCTGAGTCCATCAACATCTCCATGGCTTAACGCAAATTTTTGCATCGGCGCCGGCATTTCCGTGCAGTTTACAAGCTGCTACATTTCAGTAAACAACATATTCGCGGATCTTCGTCTTTGTTGTTTTTAGACACGGCAGTGCTGTTCTATTTCACAAGATGTGTAACAGCAACCCCATCATATAACAGTGGAAACATGGATTGCCTGAATATGTCGTCAATTGCAGGGAAGTGTTCTGTCATAAATGATGGAAAATCTCGTCAATGGTGGGGATAGTTTTAATTCTATGTTTACCTTAATGACTGGAAGTTAACCCAGAAACTATTCAGACCAGCTTCTCCAGAGCAGTGGTCCCCAACTGGTGGGTCACAGTCCAAAAGTGGGTCGTGGGCCCAATATGAATGGACCGCAAGTGACTCGCAAACATTAAATTTCCAGCACAGAGCTTTTATTTTGTAGTTCTGTTTCATGCTGTAGAGTGAGTGACTAACAACAGCTACTTGACAGAGACAGCAAACTAGCTCAACAGAAGTATGATACTGTGTGACCTTGAAGTAACGACTAAGGAGAAATCTGGACCCATGGCCGAACCAGTTGGGAACCACTGCTCTAGAGAAGCCAACATAGACATGCAAACTTATTATTTTTATGCAACTTCTCATGACATGTAATGCTGGTTTGGAGTCCTATCTGCCTGTCTGCTGGAGGTTGTCATCATTAAATTATTTGGGAAGCTGTCATCTCAATGGACTGCAGATGTCATGACGTCAGTATGCTGCTCCAGGATTGGCTGAACCTCGGCTGACTTGTGAGCCCATCTGTTTAAGTAGGGTTCAATGTCAAGTTACTGATTTTGTCTGCATGGTGGAGGCACACTGGGAAATAGATGCTTCATTCATACAAATCATTACATGCATGTATTGGGACTAATGTCCGGTGCCAGGCCACTTGTAAACTGTCCTCAAAAAGCTAAGTTGCTTATTACAAATTAGATTTTTTTCAATCAAAATACAGCATTGGGAGCAAGTTGAATTCCACTGAGTGTGAAGAAAACCACTTGAAAGAAAGATATCAACGGTGGAGATGAACTTTTGTTTCCTTGTGTTCTAAATGCACAAGAAAATGCCACAGTTATATTGAAAGGACCTGCCTAAAGTCTTTCTATGAACATTTCATTTTCTATCATCCTAAAATTGTCTTCAAACGTTTGTTTATATGTCAGTTAATTTGTGAAGATTGCGGCAACACAATCTGCAGCTTCCACTGATCTGACAAAGGCCATGTTGACACAAAATGTACATAATCATATCCACCTCTCGTTAAAAAAACAGGCAGTGCGAACACTGGTGTGTGTGTCTGCACTGAGGCAAAGACACAGAGGACAAAAGTTCAGCACTGCAGCTAAAGTGGCCAATTACTGTACATGTCTGGGCATGTTGTACATCTATTCCAGGGAATCAGTGTCTACTTTGCAAATGTAATTAGCTCTTACTTTCTTGTCTAATGTGTAATATTAATATTCTAAATGCTTCACATCTAATGTAACAACATGTTTGTTTCTCATATGAGTTGAAAGTCTGTGTCATAATTCTCTCAGCAGCTTTATGAGTTTTCTTCTTTTCTATTAAATCACAGAACAATAGTTTCACACTGCAGCATCCACAATAAAAACAGTCCTGTTAATGTTTATACTGTATTCATTTCCACTGTGTTGAGGGTAAATCTGTCAGCTAATGATCTGCACGTCACTGTCACATGAGTCATGTAGCTGTGAGAGCATTCTGCTTCAACCAAAGGTTTCCCTCAGAGAGCAGGCGACTTAAGCTTTGCTGTTGTCTCCATCTGCTGGGACGTTGGTGTCATGATTTATTAGCTCATCTGAACTGCTGCAAGAAGTTTGAGTGTGTTTATTGTAGTCTGCTACAAAACATCTGTTGAGCAGTTTTGTAATTAAGGATTGTTTGGACATTGTATATTTTTACATCTCATGTTAGATGATAAGATAGAATATAATGTCCAAACAATCTATGATATTAATTATTTGCCTGGTGAGGAATGGGGCAGTAAGATCGGCAGTCCTTGTTGGACCAAAATATTTTTATTATTTCTGTAAAGTCTTGGTCTCTAAGATGTTCATATTGGCCGCATGGAGTTAGGAAGTGCAGCTCTGTCTCCACTGTTCTCTGGTCATGGTAAGAATGCAACCTGTCCTCTCTGGGCAGCCAGGTCTTCCGGAGTCTGCCTACTCCCACTGCCAGGCTGTGCTCACTCGGTCTGTACTTGTTTTCTGGGATTATATTAGTTCTCTCCAATAATCTATGTATTTCTCTTTTTCTTTCATCATAATTTGGATAGGTCTAATTTTCTGTTTGTAAGTGTCCTGAGTGCTGTGATGGCTTAAAGGGGCAACTTTGGTTAAATATCACCTG